CGAATGCGAACAATACAGCAATCTCTCCGCCGCGCCCTGCGGGGGTTCAACACGGTCGGCATTGTTTGTCGCGGGTATCAGCCGGTGTTCAACCCATTCGTCATCTGGCAACAATAATGTCGCTAGACATCGGCCTTGTGCCCAGTCCGTTCGTTATCTAACTGTCACTGATGACGTCAGACATCGGCCTGGTGCCCAGTCCTTTCGACTGCTACCTGGCCTTCCGCGGCATTCGTACGCTGCACCTGCGCATGCCGCGCCACATGAGCGGTGCCCTGCGCGTGGCGCACTTCCTGGAGAGCCACCCACACGTGGAGCGCGTGCTCTACCCCCTCGAGTCGCACCCACAGGTAAGCCCGAGACAAGTGAACAGATCCAAGATGACTTTGTGTTCCCTGACCTCGAGGTGATCCAAAGGAATAATGCGATGCGCATTGTACTGATTTGCATCTGATGCCTGATGTGCAGCATGATACCGCGCTACGTTTTTCGTTAACAAATTTCAATACGAATCCTTCTACCCACCCCCAAAAAGGCCTGACGCACGAATGCAAGTAAACGTGCAACAAAGCATAAGCTGATTTCGTTCCGCCATGCCCGATGCTGAGTTGCCCCCAGCGAGTGCAAGGCTTGCTGGCACCAGCATTACTGCGTAGTTGAGAGTAAAAACCTTGCTCTTGACATGAACGAGCACCTGGGATATCAACACCGTTACTACCAGAGAAGCATGACCGATTGCTCGAGGGTGCTACTGGCGCCCAGTGACGCGGATCACCCTCCTGCTCCTGCCCGCCCGATGCCACGGTCAGGGAATTAGCATTCAGTGACTGCATCGGCTGCCTGACACCTGCAGTGGTTAAATGCAGTGACCGCGGCTCCTAGCACAGGGCATGCCTGCTACAGCGTAATTTAAGTTTTTGACGGGTGAACAGCACTGCAGCTGTCTTATCGCGGTCAGGTGATCATGAACGCTGAAGATTTTGCAGAGGAATTGGGACGAGGTATTGATATCGCGGATGGAAAAATGATTCAAACTTTCGTTTCCATGGAGTGTGTTGGCATGTTCTGAAGGCCTCCACGGGCAATATTTCGTATACGTAATCCACCCGCTGCACATAGGGCTTTGTCCATACACACCCACTGCTTTCTTACTAATAAGTCGTGCTTAAGCGTTACCAGTCCTTTGCACCTTTTCACCTCTGATTCTTATTTCCAAGTATAGGAAATGTTCGAAAAAGTTAGGTCTAAATCTGCTATCTTACAGTGATGATTGTAAAAGAACTGTGAATGGAGCTAATGATGAATAAAGAACCACACGCAATAACCTTTGTAGTATGTCTTGTAAGGTCTACCCGATATCTCGTAAATGTCGCACCCATACTCGTACCCTCAGGTTTCTCAAAACTTGTAGCCAACCCAATCCGTTGCCCATTTTATATGGGTACCCACGGGCTTACCCAGCCAACGCTAATGTGTCGCTTCTCAGCCGTTTAAGTCCGCTAGTATATTCACAGTGTTTCGCCAGATAATTCTGCCACCGTCACGTGTAAGGTCAGTACTGAGCCGGACAGAGTGGTGTTTGACTTTTAGCCATAAGCGCGTCACAATCCGATCTGTCTACTTGGAGTTGTTGGGAGTCGAACCGGGGTCTTCTGATAACGGGACCAGTGCTCCACCAACTGAGCTAACCGAGAACCGTATTGCAGTTCAATGATTTAGAATATATATTAAACTTTGCCCAAGTTGCAAGGCATCATACCCTCCCTTTATTCGCCACCCCCCCCCCCCCACTCCCCACCCCCACCCCGCCGCACCCCACCCCTGCCGTCGACGCTCCCTCACTCACGGCGTCCATGGCGTTGCAGCACGCGCTGTTGAAGAGCCAGGCGTACGGCCTGCAGCGGTATGCTGAGCTTCTACGTCAGGGGCGGCAAGCCCGAGACCATGGAGTTCTTCCGCCGCCTGAAGCTGATCGCTGCGGCCGTCAGTCTGGGCGGCTACGAGAGTCTGGCGGTGTCACCGTACGTACACCCCGGCGATGGCACACCCGGCCTGGTCCGGGCCCAGGCGCGAGATTCCGCCCGGCCAGGCACGCAGACGCACCAACACACACACACACACACACACACACAACACACACACACACACACACACACACACACACACACACACACACACCCACACACACCACACACACACACACCACACACACACACACACACACACACCCCCACACACACACCACACACCACACCCACACACACACACACCACACACCACACACACACACACCACACACACACACACCACACACACACACACACACACACACCACACACACACACAACACACACACACCACACACACACACACACACACACCAACCAACACACACACGCACACGCACACGCACACGCACAAGCACACGCACACACACACGGCAGCAGGCTCTTCGCCAGGCGGAGATGTCACTTACCGCATCATCTCACCGCGAAAGCCCAAATTCAGATCCTGTAGGCAGGTGCTTACTCAGGGGCGTGTTTTTTTTTTGGCGTCTGACATGTCAGCTCGGCATTCGTTACTCTGGGGTCCCTGTGTGCTCCCTGTTCGAGGATATGTGTTATGGCCATCGTGGTATGGTCATTGGTATGGTATGGTCATTGTGGTATGGTAATTGGTATGGTATGGCCATTGTATGGTCGTCGTGTCTGATTCGGAATTTGGGAAGTGGAGGAAAACCTGTGTATGGAAGTGCCAGTCAAAAATAATCTGTCACGGCTATATGCCTTTCCGAAGGTGGAACGATGACAACGTCCGGTGTGAATTAGGGGGACCAATACAGTGAAGGGCTTCTTCTTTTCAAACGGAGCCTCCTGATCCGGAACAGGTATCTTCTGGACAAGGTCACGCGATAAAGGTACTTCTGATGCATAAAAAGGACATCCTGATTTATGGAGTGTGCCTGATCCTAATCCGGAATAGGTTTGTTCTGATTCACAAAGGTGACCCCGCGAGCCGGCACGCTCTCTGACACAAAATGAGGCGTTCTGATTCGAAGCGGGACTGAATAATTTATCAAGGAGGCCTTGTGATCTAGAAAAGTGGCCTCTTAATGCACAAAGAGCCTCATTTCGGCACCTCCACGCTCAGGTGTGGGGCCTCCTTGATTTGGATTTATAGAAGTGGAAATACATGTTTTTGCTTCCTGCCCGCCCGCGGGGAGCAAAAAGCTGGACAGATTTGATTTTCATTCAATCCTTTTTGAATTGTATGCCCTTTTACTTTTTGCCATTTGAGTTTATCTCTTTAGATTTTTACCTACTTGACTTCTTCACATTCGACTATTGTCCTTCGACTTTTTTGGATTTCTTCTTTTGTCCGATTATCAAACACGATAGTGCCATCATTGCGAAAGCGCGAGTCGACGCAATTTGAGATGTGAGATCGCAGTTACCTGCGGCGTGATGACAGACTTTTAGCTGCAAGGGTCTTCAACAGTCAGACTCAAAGATGTTCGGCAATGATGCACAGTGTAGGTATGCACCTACTTCTAATGCAAGCGATTTGTGTTTGACACAGTACCATTTGCATTGGTTGATTGATATGCGAGACGTTTCTTGAGCTGAGCTTTCAAGATTCAATTCGATACAAGACACAAATTTGAAATGCTCCTCCTCGCCCAACTCATTAAGCATGCGTGAGCCTAATTATGCGTTACACTAACCATTTTTAGCATTCTTCAATCTGCCTCATTTCGTAGGAGGGATCAGCTTCCTAACGCAATTTAATCCTGGCATGTGTTCAGATAGTTAATCCATGAAGCATGCTCATTTCCAAACACGGCACCAAAGACGATAGCATCTAGGTACCAGCGGCTACAAATAACACTGCAGATTTTGGCAAACCTAGCGCCCGTCGCCAATAATCTGATGTCTAAATACTGTAGACATGGGTATATTGCCTTTACTCGATAAGCGGGCGTTAAACAAATCATAGAGGAAAAAAGACCGACTTTTGCTTTGCTGTTATTCCCGATTGATGTGACCGATAATGATGTCTTTTAACAAGCAGCTGTCTTCAACAGGGATTCTCAGTCTGCATCCCAACACGCATCTTAGCTCGTTAGCAGGCAGTGAACTGCTTATGTATCTGCGGGGAAGGGGGCTGAATAAACGCGTCGTTAACGACTGTTTATGTCTGCTGGGAGGGGCCGAATGCGTCAATGTTTTACGATGCATGTGAGTGTCTGAGCTCAATTTCCCTCCGATGCTATCGACTCTGATTAGATAAATCACCACTGAAGTGATGATGAAGGTCTGACGTTGTCTGTCTGATACGTCGTTTCACTGTCTCCCTCTGGCGTATGAGGCTCAGCTGTTTTGAGGATAAAATTTACGACGCCTAACAACTTGGAGCCCGCGGCTTGCCCTACTGGCGGCTACAGGGAAGCTGCGATTACGTGGTAAAGTAATCACGATATTAGCAAGCTCGCATCATCGTGTGGTCAAGTCTCGATTATCAAAGAGCCTCCCTTTGGCTAGGAGATCCCTCATCCGGCTCAGTTCATGCTCTCACCTAGTGCATACAGATACCTGGTCCCTCACGTTGGATGTCTTATTTGGTATGTTCGACACCTAGCCACATATCCCGGTGTTCCCTCCGCGCCCGCGAAGGCGAAGAAGGAGCATCGGGATATGCAGCAAGAAATGTGTTTCGCCATAAGATTTATGTTTTCAAAAAACAGTTCCAACTCAATGCGGTTTTTGCCTCTCAAAGCTGAAATGCTTCTTTCCGCCCCAGTCTGGGCCGTCCCTTTATCCGGACTCTGGGCTACAGTGTCTGTTTGGGCTTCGGGACGTTCTGTTACCTGGCCTTTGGGGCAAAGCAAAATTCCGAGACTACGGTTACTGGTCATGGCAAATTGTCTTCTGAACTTTGCTGAACAAAATGGGATTAGGAGATATGACGTCATTTATGAAGGTTTCGCTTTATAGCTGGAGTTTGAGTCCTTGATCAGGTTCACATTTTAGTGTATATCAGACGAATATCATCTACCCGTAAGACGGCTGCATCTTCCGATCCTTCACAACAGGAATATGGTGAAAAACAGCACACGACACAACATGAAGTTTTCTTTGGCCGAACGGTGGCTAAAAGGAGAAAGGCTCAGACCAGAGCTCATGTATGTCTTAATGTTTGCACCATGTCAACAACAGTTTTATTCCAGGCAAATTTTTGAATATGAAATCAGTAACACCGTACGAGAACATTAACCTAGTATTCCGCTAAACCACAATAGGTCTAGATTACCGCAATCGTTTTCAATCAAGGATCACAAGGAGCACAGGTAGACCACCAATCATTGACACTAGGAAATAAACGTCATGGCTTATTATGACATGTTGCTCATTACCGTATCTATACAATATGTATGTAATATGATGAAACATGAAATGAGCGGCCTCCGAACTTAGTAAAATGAAGTTTATATTATTTTCACGCGAACTGAAATGGTCCTGCCATTTATTTCTGATAAAAAAGGCTGAGGGAGTACTTTAGGATTGCTGACAATTTCTGGCTGCTGGTGTGATTTGTCGAGAAGCTGCTTTTTCGTTGAAGGGCTATTTTATTTATGCAATATTTCATCTGGACAACGCAGTAGTAAAGCCATATTCCTCGGAAAAAACCAGGAGAATGGAGATATAGTTGTATATCTCTGCGGTTTTTTAAAAACCAGGAGAATGGAGATATACAACTGTATAGCAGCAATAGCCCTATTCCTCGCAGAAAACCTAAAAATTAGGCAATTACTGGAGATTAATGGAAATATATAACTATATAGCAACAATAGCCTTATTCCCCGGAGAAAACGAGGAAAAGGGCTATTACCACTCTATAACTGCATATCTCCATTCTCCTGGTTTTTGTTGGGGGAATAAAGCTAATACTGCTGGCTTATCCATGCGAATAATGTTCTTCGCAAATGTACCGATCAACGTACGTAATATTTTATCTGTATACCATAGACAATTGCGCTATCAATGCACAATTTATGCAAAATCATACACCACATTGATACATAATTATGTATAACTCATGGCGTTCGCCACTTTTCACGTCGCACTTCAGACAGCATGGCACACATCAGGAAGCTGCTCACTCTTCCTAATTTGCCGAAATGAAAATAGCTACTAGCCGGTAGGCATGGCGTGACGAAAGCTGTTAATATTACAGCATAATGTGAACAGATATGGTTCAAACCTATGGTTTTGTTCAGGAGTCGCGACTAAAAAGCCCAGGAGGTGACAAAATCCCAATAGATTGCGCTTTAACCGGCTACGATGAAAAACGCGGATCCTTTTTTGGGGTTTGAAATTTTACAATTGCACCGAGTTGAATGGTCACGACAAGCCATCATGCGTATGAGCACCCATGCGGTGCTTCTTATGACCGATTCTAGTGGTTCTGGCCGTTTGATTCATTGGTTTTCCTGTGACGGATATCGTAATACTGACCAAAGGGCCTCCAAAACTTGCACTGCCGAGGAGATCCCGGGCCCTAACGCACTACAGGCGAGCCACTGCTTGTAGGGAGGCCTCTCAGACAAAGAAGCCGTTGGGGGAGGGGGAGGGGGAGGGGAGTCCTGCTCATCGTCCGCTTCAGGTCTGAAGCGCAGCGGCTGTCAAGCTCCTCCCAGGCGCTTTGCTATGAAGGTTTGCCGCACAGGGTCTCTGTTTTGCTAATGGGTTGTATATCAGCCGCAGCACTCATCTCGCCATGCCGAGTGTTTCATGCTAATGCGCCGTTAGCGGTTTCATAGAAATGAATTACAACTTGCGTTGTTTTTACTCGCGCTGGAGACGACGTGGTTTCACTGACTTATCGTTTCTCTCAGTGGCTTACAAATCACAACTCAGCAGCTTTGAGGCTGTTTCTGACCCACGTACTTACAATGTGTGTTTCAAAAAGCACTGAAAGCTGTCATTTTATTTTACGACGCTGCAGTACTGACTTTGTCGCAGTGCGCGCAGGTCCGTCCAGAAGTCAGACCTGGCCGGCTGGCGCCACACGTCCGCCTAGCAACCGCCCCGCGTCTGCCTACAGAATTTACACCACCCACAACCAGAACCCGAAGGAGGAGCTCGACTACCTGGGCATCACCGACAACATGGTGCGCCTGTCCGTCGGCCTGGAGGACCCCGACGACCTGTGCGCCGACCTGGACCAGGCCCTGAAGGCTGCCTGCGGCTCCGGCTAGCGGCGCTGGAAACGTCGCATATCCGTTTCTGGCGGCCCTACACTCGGATCAAGGCCGATAACGACACCGGGGCTGGCTACACTGAACTACGACTAAGGCGAAGGCAACAGCTTGCGGCGCGCGTCCGTGCCCGGCAGCCTCGCCCCACACACCCAGCCAGACCCAGTCGGCGCGCGTCCGCGCCCGGCAGCCTCGCCCCACACACCCAGCCGGACCCAGTCGGTGCGCGTTCGAGCCCGGCAGCCTCGCTCCACACACCCAGTCAGACCCAGTCGGCGCGCGTTCGAGCCCGGCAGCCTCGCTCCACACACCCAGCCAGACCCAGTCGGCGCGCGTCCCAGCCCGGCAGCCTCGCCCCACACGCCCAGCCAGAATCAGTCGCCCGGTCTGGCGGCCCCGGACTAGGACCGAAGAGCGCAACTTTGCGTGGTTTGAAACTCAACCTCAGATCTTTTTCCTGTCCGTGCTATATCACTTCCTACATACTCCGAGACTCGTTCATCTCGTTATTTCTCAAGTGCATTTGCGAGAAACAGTATTCACATAGATAAGGCAATAGTTGCAATGCACTACACTGCCTCGGAGAAAGCCAGGAAAATGGAGATAGACATGCGTTTTATTTCGGCAGCATGCATTTATTGAAATTGCCTGTCGATGATTCCACATGATTTTTTAGCCTTTTTTGAGACATAGGGGGCCATGGTTTTTACAGAACACCAACATTCAGGGATTAAACAAGAAACATTTGCCAACCATTGCTAGGATACGGTGCATACCTGACGAAGAATTATGATACGCGAAAATACGTGTACATGCAAACGAATTGAAATAAACAGGCATCACGCACCACGCTTCATTCAAACATTCCAGCCAGTTGAAGTAAACAGGCACCACACACAACGCATCAGTCATACACGTGACACGCGTCAGGCATCATTTACACTCTTGAGCAATTTTAAGCTAGTACAAAACACACATCAAGGTACATATCACGTTCGCATAATCGGCCATGATGAGCCTTGTGCATTGTACGCACTTCAACGTACGATGTACGATGCACGTATGATTGGTCCTGTGCCTTGTACGTACGTTGACGTACAGGGTTCATCATGGCCGATTACGCAAACGTGACATGTGTCTTGATATGTAATGTGTGCTAGCTTAAAATCGTTAACATGTGTAAATGATGCCTGCCGCATGATGCGCAATGCCTGTTTGACCGAAATCGCTTGCGTGCATAATTGATGCGTGATGTGTGTTTACTTCAACTCGCTTGCATGTTTGAATGAAGCGTGATGCGTGCTGCCTGTTTTCTTGGGTTCGTTTGCATGTACACTTATTTTCCCCTGTTCCAACTCTTCGTGAGATACGCAATGTATCGTAGTAATGGCTGGCAATTGCTCCTTTCCTTATCCCCTGAATGCTAGCGCCCTGTAAGAACTGTGGCTTGCTGTTTCAAAAAAGCTGCTAAAATCAAGTAGGATCATCGACAAGTAATTTGGAACTCGCTTCTGCTGTTGTTTCGATGAAGACATGGTGCCGAAAGATCAACGCATCCATATATCCATTCTCCTGGTTTTTCTCCGGGGAATATGGCTATTACTGCTGTCTTAAAGCTCATTATTTTCATTCGTGATGCCATGACCGAATTATTGTGCGTAAAATGATAAGAAATTTGTTAGCATCGAAAGCAACAGGAATTCGTCATATTTCTGTCACGTGCGCAGTGATGACGGCGTGGAAAGTTTGGAACATGCTTACCATGACGTGCTTACTTTTGAAGCTTTGCTAAGAAAAGCAGCGCTGTAAGCGATGATTTTATTTGAACTCTTGTTTGCCAACCATATAGCTGTTGACCTTTTCATCATGCATGTAGCAGCTCATCAGCATTGTGCAGTCATTGCAGTCCGTACAATAGTTCGTGCGACCACCAATGCAGGTATCTGCGAGTCCTTCCCACGATGTGCTGAAGACGTTAAAAATAACGCTGGGCGACATGCTATATGATCGCTGATGGTATCTTCTCTTTGAAGCTTCCATGCATGCGCTTTCATTGATAAGAGCTGTCAGAAATGACATAGCTGTTGCAGGGGATCAGTAAACATAGGAACTGTGTGAGAGTTTTAAGTTAGCAAAATGTGAATAAATAAAATGTCAACACAACAGTCAATATGTATCTCAAATACTTCAGTGTGGAGCTGTATGCAGCATGGTTGTTGCCCCAAAGCACGGGTGGCATCGCCAAGCTCGGGAACCCACACAAGCCGACTACTCCCGGGTCCTGAAGCCCGACCCGACCAGCCGACCGACGGCCTGTCGTCAGCCAGCCCAGGCGTCGGTGTTCGCTCGATTCCTGACCGTGAGAACTCGACCGGAACGGTCAGAATTCAGTCAGAGCTCACTGACTGTGGCTCAGTCGCCGACCCTGACATCCTCGACGCATAGTGGTATCGAGCACCGAGTGCATTCCTTTCAGATGGGTCACTTGTAGCATGCATTAGATAAGAGAAAAGCTATTAGTCAGTCGGCCGACATGGGAGGAACGGTTTCCAACCGCGGCTCTTCTGCAGCGGCCTGTAGCGTGAGTCCTACCGCGGAAAACCCTCACATCTGGGAGTGATGTGCGCCAGCATGCTTCGGGTTCCTCCGCCCCGACATTCGCGGTCTCCTTTGAAACGTGATCCGCTGTCGCAGGACCATGTGCAGAAGTCTGCTGCGCACGCCTGGGCACACATGCCACGGTCGTGACGCGCGGGACGCGGCCCGGAAATACGCCCGCTGCAGACGCCACGCTCGGACCCCGTCTGGTCAGCAAAGAGGCCACAGCCAGGGAGTCCAGTCCTGCGCCTGGCGCCTGGCACTAGACGTGATGCGTTCGGTGCGTTCTCACGACACTCCTTGAGAACAACTATTTAAGTATTTGTCGTAAAAATAGCAATTAAACTTGAGGACATTCCTGGCAGCGTTGTGTCTGACCAACAACCACGAATGCAATGTTTTTCAAAGAGATGTTGCGGATAGCTCGTCTGCTCTGCAAGGCCTCTTGGTTCCCTCCTTTCTCACTGGGCACGCTGTAGTGTTCTGTATTAAAGTACGTAACGCAAGCACATAATTTAAAAAGACTGCCGTGACTGTTATGGTCGAGACTGCGTAGTGCGCCAGGGCAATGGTCGGTTGGCACAGGCCAGGCTATCGCAGCTAAGGCACAGGCAGCAATGCAGGCTAAGGCTAGCATTCATGGCAGTCAAATGCTGCGTAAGAAACATGCTAATCGCTTCCTCTCCGATCGTGACATAGTCTTTTAACCCCGCTGCAAAACACAGTAAAGATCAAACTTCTGCAGCAAATCACAACGCCATGAACATCTTGCCAAATAACTTTCCTCCGAACTTGTGGCACGGTAGGCTGAGTGTCACGGGTCACTGGGACTATTTGGCCTGGCAGCATTTAATGGAGGTGTAAACAGCGTCTCCACATGGCAAGGCAATGTTGAGTGTAGCCTTAAGGCGGGGATCGAGTCTCTCTTGTTAACGTGCGTGGCGTCCCCTGTTTCGCCATAGATCTGTTCTGCGGCACCAGCTGCCGAACAATATTTAAATTTTAGGTCAAAAGGACCGGAAAACGCGAACATGCAGGAGTCAGGAGTTGTACTAAGTCCAGGAAGTATCGGGAACATTTGTTCCAGAGCTATGCTGCGGAAGTAACCTAAGCGTATGTTTATAACCTCACGGTTTAACCAGTTACCGGACTCATCTGGCTGTTTTTTCTGAGTGGCGGGGAAGACCGTGCGCCATATAGCTCGCCACACAGTTTGCTTCCGCAAGCCAAGCATTTCCGAGTGTCACGAACTTTCCTCCAAGATGCCTGAGAGAGCATGTTGTATCAGCTATGTATGGGGCACGCTGTATCAGTGATGAAACGTACTGACAATGATGTGATTGATTGGCAATGATGTGATCGCTTGGATTGACTGGTGAACTTCATATGCGGAAGAAAGACCTTCAGCACCGGGTTTTTCGGCATTATGAGTTCAGAATCCTCATGCTAAGTCATCGACCTTCAATATACCAGGAGGCACTGGGTTAGCTTTATAGTACAAATATTGGTTATGTTGATAGTATTCACTGTACCCACTGTGTTACCTACTGGGATTCACCGTGCTGACTCACAGTAATCACCGTAGTAAGTATTATCGATGTAGCCAATGTTTGCGCGCTACGGTTGAATCAGCACCTCTTGGCATACTGAAGTTCAATAACTCAGCATTAGCATTCTGAAATCACAATGATTGACAAACCATATTTCATCTGCACGGCAGACGTGTTATAACTTAGTCCAATGCGGGTAAAAGGACGCACCACGGCCTGCCTTCAGGCTATCCCATAGACCGTCGAGCACCAGCGCTGAAAATACCAGACCATAGGAAAGAAAGCCGGAAGAGATCACTTGTTTGTTTAGCACGATGTCTGATTTTATCTCGTACCCAATGTTCATGGGATGGATGATATTGTAAGCAAACCAGTTGATCTGTCTTTAAACCGTTTGCTTTCATAACGCGGCGCTGTCGCATGGAAGCTACCGAACATGTGCGTCGAGGCTTGTGATTATCTATTCGTGTGACTCAAACAAATAACACCGATGAACAATCAGCGACTGGGCGGACGGCAGGCGGACCTTAAGAGCCGAAAAGATGAGGCCCTGGTATTGAGGTGGCGGGTGGGGGAACCCCAGCTGCTTCCCGGACGCGTCCCACCCTGTCGCGTCTGGCCGGCCGGCTGTCTACATCACGGGATGTACTCCGCGGACCGGCCGGCGGCCCGGCGGTCCGACGGCCGCGGTCCTGTTACACAGCCGTAAAGCTCCCCCGTCTCCCTGTCCAAACCGCAACCTTAGCCGGCCTTGTGTCGTGAGTCCCGAGTGCGTCGAACAGCGGGTATCGCCTGCTGAATTTCCGGGGCCTTGTAACTTAGGAAAGGATGGTCTCACCACCGACCACCGAT